ACTTTGAAAAATAATGACCTTTCTACTATGCCTGCCTCCCAAGCTCAAGGTCCTATGTTCGATCCCTGCTCCAGAAAAAAAAAAAAATGACCTTTCTATTTATTATCTCACTCACCAAAGACTACCTGCCTGAATCAATTTACAATATTATAGTATTTGCAACTAATAAATCCACATTCCCAAGCAAACAAAATATCCCGTAATTCCCCTCCTATTTCACAAAGGGGTTCTCCACATACCTTATTTAGAAATGAGCGCAACATCCCTGTACTTTTAGAGACACACAAAATTAGTGTGGATCTAGACATTAACAAACTATCCCCCCACAGTTGCTGGAAATTATCAAAGCAAATCTTTTCCTCACAAGACTTTAAAGCAGTCCCGACCCAAGGACAAAATAAATCTATGGAACATTCAGTCAGTGCAGCCACAAAATGGGGTCTCTCTAAGGAGAATAAGAGGTGAAAGGGGATGAGAGAAGGGTGCATGAGGAGTGGGAGACAGACAGCAGCAGCAGAAGGAACGACTGTGGCTTCCAGGCCTGAACAGCTGCTCCCACGGAGCTGTGGGAATAAGCCAGCCTCACCCTCCTTTGCACCACCGGGCAGCGGGTGAAGGACTGGCTTACACTGCATCTGCAAGATGTAGAAATGAATTTAATATCTCTAATTGAGGAGCAGCGAGACCACCGAGCCATCACAACTGGCAGAAGGCAGACTGTATGTGCAAGTCAGTAAGAGCTGAATCTGGGGTTAGGGGACGGACGCCTCAGCTGGGGATGTAAAGATAGTTGAGTAAAAATGAAACATATTAATATAAAAATTACATTGTTAGCACAATTTCCTTAAGAAACTGTGCTTGAAGACTGTAGATTCTATTTCGACTTTTTTTTTTAACTTGCAATCAGGGGCATCATCAGAGATGTACAGAATTCTCACCAAAGAAAGTGGGGCTCAGTTCCACCCTCTGGGGTGCACTTGGAGTGTAAAGATCACGGGGCAGTGTGGCTCAGAGCTGTAGAAATGTAAGTGGCTTTGGAAGAAAATAGGGACTGGTCCAGGAGCCCCCCTGATGAGACTGTTCTTGGGTGGGTCCACGTGTGTGTGTGGAAGACTTACAAGCATGGCAAATCCACTGGCTGAAGATGGGTGGATGAGTATGAGGGTGTGCGGGTGTGAGTGTGTGTGTGTGATTTTGTTGTATAAGGGAAGGAGTTTATTATTTACTGTGGCTTGAAAATATTGTGTAAATATATATATGATGATGATTTTCTCTTTGACAACTAAAGTTAGGACCTATAAATACTAGGTGCCTCACTTTCTGGTGCTGATCTTACTGTGTATTGGGAATGATACTATATGTAACCTTCATTGTTCTCACGTTGCTGTCAAAGTCTCTTTAAAAAAAAATTACATTGTGTTCTATAAGCCCAGATGAAAAAACATATACATATATAAAACTTTTGCAAGTTGAAGGGAACATATGTCAAAGCCAAATAATTAAATACAAACTCACTTTACTTATATGCCAAGAACTGAGCTCATAGCCCTGGATAAATAATAAAGCTGCACAGTTCATTGACCTGTTTGGGTATTAATGAGCTCATCAATTTTTTTCAGCACTCACAGACGTTGCTCCACTTGGAAAGTGGTAAGGAGAAAGTCAGGTCAACAATAATATTTCTCCGCCCGTTTAAATCTACACCGTAGCCATAATTTTATAAATTAAAATGTCAGGTATATTTATTTTGAGATTACCTAGAGACATTCAACTTTGCATTTTAGAGACTTTTAATATCCTTTTTGTGTCTCTATAGAAAACATTTATCTGTGTCAAAAACCTTGAAGTCATTTGTAGATATACTTTTTCTTTTATTGGCTATGTTAAAAATATTGACCTGTGGGAACTATAAGAATTCCAGGCAATTTAGCGTCTGGCCAAAAGTATCACATTTGCACATGATTTATTAATGAATAACTTGTGCAAGCTTAAGTAGCACTTCATCAATAAATGTTTTCCTTAGCTGTTCAGGGACAGAAATAGTGCATCCCTTTTTTGGCCCAGTGCTATATGGACTTAGCCTAAATACTTGTCTAACTCAACATAGTTACTCTATAGCCATTACGAGGAGCTCTTGGCCAGGGGCCCCGGGAGCACATCACCAAAGACATTGTTTGCCTTCACTCAGTGCCTGCCCCATTCAATCTTCAGGGAGATAATTCTTTCTGCTCTTGGCCCTTGGATGGGTTTTACTCATTGGCAACTGCTTATTCTTATTTAAGGAGAGTTAAGTCTTTCTCTCACTGTATTAACTTGCTGCATTTTTTTCTTTTTACTGGTTTCCAGAAGACTTAAAGCAAAAATGGAGGGCCAGTTAGGCAAGTCGATAAGATTCCATGGCAAACATTTTCTGGAGTAATAATCACATGCAACAGAAATAGCTGTTATTGCCAACTGTCACCGAGGACGTTATGCTAGGCACTTTACACGTGTTATGTGGCATTTAGTACTCGTCATAATCCTAACATATGGGAACTTTTATTTCTCCATCTTCACCAACGAAGAAACTGGAGCTTAGAGAGGTTATTCAACCTGCCCCAGGCCATGGAGTCAGTGGCAGAGGTCCCACTCAAACAACGTTTCTCCAACATCAAACATCACGCTTCTAGCAACTCCAGTGTCCTACCTCCTGCTTCTGCCCCTTTGACCCTGTCTCTCTTTATTAAGGAAATAAAGACAGTGGACCAGGGCAGTTTAGAAAAGCACTGTGGCTCTTCCAGTTCCTCTACCTGAAGGCTGTGTCTGAGCCCCAAGGGCCCAGTCCAGTTCAAGCCGCCTGCTGCAGGACAGTGGGTGAGGAGAGGCAACCGTGGACAGCTCTGAGGCCCAGGCAAGCGGCAGATGAGGGCTAGGAAGAGGCCCTGAACCACAGGCTGAGCCTGTGGTCTGCGACAGGACGCCTGCCAAGTGGAGTGACGGAACAGAGTTCTAGCAAGTGTCAGAGTTCCCCAATTCATAAATTAGTCCATATTTGTTCTAATGTTTTCCTTACATGTTTTTAAGTAATCATGAGTGGCCATAATAATAAACCATGAATCATTTTTAGTGGCAGAATTAGGCTTAAAGTTTTTAATGTTTTCTTTTAAAAAAACGATTATATAAAGTATGAATCCATTATTATTATGAAATGGTATGTGTGTTCGTCAGCTTTTGGTCAGTATAATAAGTACCTAAGATGACATGTGAAGGGAAAGGTTCATTTTGGCTCATGTTTTAGAGGTGTTTCCGTCCGTGCTAGGCTGCTCCTGTGGTGACACAGCGATGTGTGGCAGGAGCATGTGCTGAAGCACAACTGCTCGCCTCATGGCGGGGAGACAAGAGAAAGAGGAAGAGACGGGGTCCTGCGAGGGCCCCCCGCGACCTGAAGGCTTCTCTTCAGGCCCCATTTCTTAAGCATCACACCACCTCCCAACAGCTTAAGACTGGGATCAAGACTTTAACACATGCATTTTGGAAGAATTCAGGTCCAAACTAGAAATAGAGGACATAGTTTTACATTGCAATTATAAATGTATATTTTAAAAAATATCTACCTGCTCTAGATTCCTTGCCAATAGACAACACTAAACGAGGTGAGCATTCACATAAAATAACAGCAGAGTAAAAACAATCTCAAAAATTGAAAGCGTGTATAAAAGTACTTAAGATTTATAAAATATAATTCTTACACTTGAATTTTAAAACACACAAAACATTATCCTACTAAAAAGACTTGATCTTTGGTTTATAACAAATAACCCCAATAAAAAAAAACAAATATTCCCTTTACTTTGCACTGATGTTGGTTAGGTCATTAAGAGGTTTCCAAAAGGATCACCAAGTTAATCATTATTCCTTCATA